CAACCGTTGCTAAGGGGTGTGTCTCGGCCCCCGCGGAGCCTAGACGGTTCGGCGGCTCATGAATATTTGATTATTCAAATGAGGTCCTGCCCCTGTTGCTATGGCGCCCAGGTCCCGCAACCCCGCGGCCGGAAGAACAACCCGGAATCGAGAGAGCGCCCGGAGGCGGCGGAGGGTGCCCAGGGCCGAGCCAGCAGGGCCGGGCACTGGGGCGGAGCCCTCAGGTGAGGGCCTCGGACTTCGCTCTCCCCCTGGTGCCAGGGGGTGAACAGGACAAGGGGCGGGTGCGAGGATTGAGCTGCAGTGTCAGTGGGGGACTCTGATGCCCCCAGAGGTTCAATCTGGTCCCCTGGGGACCCTGCTTGCACCCCCCCACCCCTGGCTGTGCTTTGAGAGGCTCCCAGCACTGACATAGGAGGGGCCAAGCCCTGCCCCTGGGGGGGAGAGGAGGCCGGGAGCAGACCCTGCGGGGGTGGGGGGTCTCCCCGGTGGGGACCGGGCCGGGAGTAGGCCGTGGCTTCAGAGCCTCTCCCGCGGAGTGAAGGGTGGAGAGGCGGAGGGGACCCAGAGAGCTGAGGAGCCAGGCCGTGGAGATGGAGGGCGCAGGTCTCCAGGGGGGGGCTCCCGGAGTGTCAGGGGGGTGGGAACAGGGCCGTGAACAGTGTGGACAGATTCCGGCCGGCGCATGAATGTGGGGGACAGTGTCTACATGGGAGCCACAGCCTCCAACCCAGGCCCTGCTGGACCCCAAGACCTTTGAGCCAGACTGGACAGACCCTCTGGCCTGCTCCCGGGCAGGCCCTGCAGCAGATGCTTAGGCACACAGGGAAGAGGGTGCTGGGCCCATCGCCTAGTGCTGCCTGCGGGCACCCCAGGAACTGGGCCTGGCCAGCCTGCAGCCTCCCCGTGGCCTGAGGCTGGCGGGGTGGGCACAGCGTCTTCCCAGGGGACAGCGTGGTCGGGTCCTTCTGCCGGGCGAGGGGCCTTTCACCAGCGGAGAGAGGCAGGGAGCCCAGGGAGCCTCTGGAAAGAGATCCTGGCCGGAACCTCCATGAGACTCCATGGCGGGCTCACTTGCACGGCCTTGACCTCCATGGGCCTCCGTGGCAGGGTCACTTTCCAGAGGGGCTCCCCAAGGCACAGGGGGCCTGTGCAACCTGTCCCAGGGCCCAGCATCCCCACCATCTGTCAAAACAC